CTAATTTCTAAATTGTAGCTGAAAGTGTTACCTTTTCTACATTATTGATGTCCTTGCTCTTTATGAATCAAAACTTACTGATCTTCTACTTTAAATGGAAAAGAAGTTTTTGATTAAGCTTGATCAATAGTGAAGTTGTCTGTGTTTATTAAGTGATCATGACTTTTGAAAACATCCTATATATATTTGAAATAAAAATCTTTGTGTAAAATAGAAAATCAAATATTATTAAATTCAACAATAGATTTAATAAATTTACGAAAAGATCATCGATTTGCAAATGCAACTCAATTAGAACAATCATTTTCTAATTCTCGATCAGAACAAAATAATGCAAATTTTTATCATTTAGTAATTGATTTTTCTTTTAATTTTTTGAGTTTTTTGTTTTCGTATAAATTAATTTCAATTCTTTTTTAGGTGAAACCAAGTGATCGTGAAGATGATGATCGAACATTAATGACAAATAAACTTGTTTCAGAAGTTTATTTAACACGTTTATTAGCAACAAAAGGTTCATTACAACACTATATTGATAATTTTTTTGATACAGTTTTTTGTCTTGTTGATTTACCGTTACCAATTAAATATTTATTTGATTTTCTTGATGAACAAGCTGAATATTATCAAATATTTGATTCAAATATTATTCATACTTGGAAGAGTAACAGGTTTGAAAATTTAAGACAAAAAAAAAGTTTCTTTTCTACTTTTTTCGATATTTTTTTAGTTTACCATTAAGATTTTTTGTTAATATTATTAAAAATCCTGATTTTATATTTGATGTTCAAAAAACAAATGTTATTGATGCATCTTTATCAGTTATTGCTCAAATGTTTATGGATAGTTGTGCTGCTGGTACTCATCAATTAACAAAAGATTCACCATCATCGAAACTTTTATTTTATCGTGATGTACAAAAATATAAAAAACTTGTAGAAAAGTTAGTTTAAAAAAAAAATGTCAATCTAGAGAATAATTTTGTAATTAATTAAATTTTTCTTTAGATATTATGACGCTGTTTCTTCTCTTCCTCCTGTATCTATTAATGATCTTGATCAAAATGTGATATTGATGAAAGAACAAGAATATCAAGTAAAATTAAAAATGAAACAATTTTTTGAATTGATATTAAAATTTTATTTTTTTTTTAGAATTCATCAAATAGACGAGCGAATGACTTTAATAGAACATATGCTTTATTTAAATTATATAATGAATTTATTAGTCAATATAAGACTAATTTACGAATAGCAATAACAAATGATCTTCATGATAATCAGTATCGATTAGCAGCATTATTTGAACAGATTGTTACTTTTATGGATAGTTTTGAACTTGATATTTAATATGTTTTTTGTTTTGTACGCAAAATTGCGTATTAATTAATGGATTAAAGATATGATCTCCAAAAAAATTATATCTGTTCGCTAGTGAACGGAAGAATTTTTAGCCATATTTGATTATGTATTTAAATGGATAGAAAAAAATTTTAAAATTTCATTCGTATAATTTCAATATGTTCGGTTAGTTTCTCAATTCTATTATTTGGTGTCTAGAGAAAGTGGTTGCTATTCTTATTGTAAGAGTTGATAAATAGAAGTTTAGTTAACATATGCTTTATTCTCGATCTTCAATACTGGTGGTGTATAAAATAGTTATAAAACATTGATACTCTCATTCCGTTAATGTCAGCTTGCTAACAAAAGAAAACGAATAGCGATGGACCAACAATGGTTTTTATTGGAAAGTGAATAATCTGACTATCAAATGAAGCAGAGGTAGGCAGCTTCGGTCCACCTTTGGAACAAGCTACAAATTCAACTCTGAACGAATATTTTTTTTTCTCTGGTTCTAACTTTCAATTCTTGGATCCCGTTTACAAGTCATAGCAAATATTACTTATGCTAGACACTAAAGAATCTGATCAAAAATCATCAGATTTTTTCTCAATCTGAAAACCTTATAAAATGAAAATGCCTTAATAGTATACAACTACC